TCAGCTGCCTGTTCTTTACAGTTTTGAACCTTGGATAATATCATTAATCTGTATCTAGCAACAGAAATCCATTTTATATCCCCTTGCTCATACACACTCACAGAACATGGTTATAGTCCTTAATACTGAAGGACTTAATGCTGAATAAGGGACAGGAACCAGGAAGCAAAGAAATGTATTTGAGACCTACCAGACTCCTGAGAAGATTTTTAAAAGAAAAAGGAATGATGAGGAAAAGTCTGTTCCCAACCAAGATTTATTTCTATTATGCATGAGTCATTCAAAGTGGATTTGAAGCCAGAGACTTTTTTCACTGGCTCGCTCACTTTTCTCACTAAGTGAAAGAAATAACATTACTTCAGGATCTGAAGTTCACTGGGTTATATCTGCTTTCACTCATTTCTACCAACAGCAATATTTTTTATTGGTTTTATTTCTTTTTATTTTCCTTTTCTCTCAACATCCCTGCAGCCTTACTGTCTCCTTCATGCTGCTAGCAGAGACAGGACTACAAATTAGGTCAGTGATATGTCTGACCTGGTAATCTTAAATTTTTATAATCTGTCCTCTCCTTTGCCTCAAAACATCTACCTTCTCCTTTTTAAATAACTTACTGGAAACTCAGCAGAACAAGAATTCCCTCAAGCTTCTGGTCAAAGCAGTGAGGGCTTTGTAGATGGACAAGCAGGGATCAATCCAATATCCAGGATCGTCTCAGCTGAAATCAGTTAATGCATATAGATTGTACTGTTTTGCAAAAGAAAAAACAATGAGCCTTTTTAAAATTCGTTTGTCTGTAAGATTTGAGATGGCTTCTGTTTGGCCCAAACAAAGCCTCTGCTGCTGTTGTGTGTCCACTTTGGGTACTACACTTGAAGCAGGATGTGGAAGACTTGGAAAGGGCACAGAGATAAAAGCAACTAGAATTCCTCAAGTTTATGAAACATGCTCTATGGGGAAATACTGGGGGAGTTGAGACTGTTTAGTCTAAGAGGAGAGTAGCTGTAGGGGCAGAGATAGTCTTCAAGTACGTAATAAGTGGCTGAAAACAGGAAGAGAGTATAATCAGTTCCCCATGTCCAGTGGTAATAGCACAGGAAATGGTGAGAGTGGATTACTACAAAGAATTAAAAATTTGCAGTTTTAACATTCCCTCCTAAAAGCAAATGCCTGCTTTTATGGACAGCTTGCCTCTAACCCTTAGCTTACTTTTGTTACTCTGCAGTTGTTTCACTCTGTGATAACCTCCAATATCTGTGATATCTATGATACCTAAAATACCTGAATCAGCTCAGCCTCATACCCCATGTTCAGTTCCAGCTGGCAGAAGGGAAATGTGCCTCTTGATGTCCTCACCTCTTCTCTCTGTGGGACTCCCCCTTGCAGCCTGTTAAGGTGGAAAGCCATAATTCAGAAAATATAATTTATATAGCAGCTAGTGTCCACTTGCCAGTAGCCTTTGGCCTACAAAAATCTTTTAGTGAATTTTTGATCTGCAAAGGCAAGATGGTATTAAATATTCTTGCACTTTTTTTAGAAGTATTTCCTACTTTTTTTCTGAATTTGAAGAGGGTATTTTGCTCTGTGATTACAGAGCACTGAGCTCTATGCAACACATTTGATCTCCATGATTTGGCCTAGATGTTGCTGAGAGATCCTAAACAAAGTCCTAAACAAAGGCAGCAAACTCACATTCATTCTTTTTCACTTCTCCATGCTATTTTTACTGCCAAACATTTTATTCTATTCTCCTAACATATCTGAAAGAGTCCAAAACAGAAGGGGGGCCCAGGGAGCAGGGAAAGACAATATAGGCCAAACTCCCTGAAGTACTCAAGCTATATATATATAATCCTTCTTCTATGACATGTAAGAATCTTGGATGGTGTGGGTCCTACAGTTCTCATTTTTTCCTGCCTGAGAGATGTATCCTGGTTCATCAGGTACCTGAAGCTGGATATAGATGAGGCGGTAAAATTACAGCACTAGATCTTAAGCAGAGGTTTAGGATTTATCCCAGACCACTTTAGACATCAATGCTATAAAATGTGAGTTAGCTAATCACCCTGTGATCACTTTATAGACAGCAGGAAAAGGGAACCTTCTGGGACAGCTTCTGTCTTATCCCTGGGACATGACTACAGCAGGTCAGAGGAGCAGTTTAGTCAGTAAAGCAGATGGATGATTAGTGAAGGTATGGGCATACTAGGCAGGATTCAACTCAATCCTATCCTGACTCAGAAGATACCTACAGGTGGATACCCATACCTGAGAACCATTGGATGTAATTAATTCCTAGAAATTTCAATCCAAACATGAGAGCACATGGAAAGCAATTTCCTTCTGCAGCTGATTTTCCCATATTTCACATATCTCCTCTCTCCTAGTCTTTGCCTGAAGGGAGCAACACTTTTACCAAAAGCTGCTGCAGGGGCAAAACACTGCAGCCTTTAATTTGTCACCTCAGATCAAGGAGCCCCTCTTTACCCCACATCATTCAGTCTTCACTGAACAGACCTTTATCTCACCAGGACTCAGACTGAAGACCCTGATGTGAAAAGCCTTGTTATCCCCTCTTTCCACACAGCCCAGGTGCTCCACTGAAATCCATGTTCTTCTTTAGCTATGATGTGGTGATGAGTGTGAGTATGGAAAACAAGTCCCTGATAGGCACTTGCTGAGAGCCATGCAAGAGGTAGTGCCAGGTGTTTCAAAACCAGCCTGCCATGTACTCCTTTGAGCAAGCTTTTACATAAAACATACTCCTTGTGTTCATGTGTGCACACAAATTCAAGTTGTCCCTTGCTTCTCTTGTTAAAGATGGAAGAAATGAATAGAGATGCTTCACTTCTTGAAAGTTCGTCCAAGAATCCCAGACTGGTAGAGAAGTAATTACAATGGGCAAAAAGGCTAATCAAGAGGAAGGGCTGGTTAAGCTCAGTTTTGAAGGCTATGTCATTACCAGGCAGCTCTTAGGAATCAATGGACATTTTCATAAAGTGCTTAATAGTTAGAGTGACCTGAAACTCTAGAAACCCTTTCCAAAGGAGCCCTTTGTTGAGACGTTGGCAGTACATGGCTGGCTGGAGTCAAATAAATTAGTCATCAGATAAATCAGTCATGCCAGCTATGAGAGTGACACCAAAATAAACAGAATGTTTTAGTCAAATCCACAAAACAAAAGGAACAGCAAATCTTACTTGAAATTCCCCCATGTAATTGATGCATAATTAAGCTTCTAAACATGAATGCAAGTGTGCTGATCCAGAGTGTGTGACGAGGAAGATTGTATCTTTGAAAGTAAATGGGGATCTCCGGATGCAATTAAAAGTAATTTTTGAGTTGCTAGTTCCAAGTTCCTACTGGCAAAATCCAAGAAATGCAAAGCCTGAGTAATTCCTAAATTACTGTAGTTTCAATGCCAGGGAAACTCCACAGATTTGATGGAATTACATCAGACTCAGACTTCACGAGGCCAACAGAACTTCCTCCTTTTAGAAACAGATTGTCAAATATTTTAAAAAGAAAATGTCAGAAAAAGTTTATGGAAATTACATTCTACTGGTTCAAGAACAAAATTTGGGGGATGTGCAACTTATGGGATAAGGTAACACAAGTGCTTTATCCCAAACATGCTGCCTTAAGTAATCTTCCTTACTATCCTAAAATACACAAACAGTCTGAACTCTTTTAAATTTTTCTTGTCCTAAAATACAGACAAAATAATAACAGTGATGTTCTTATTGGTCCACTTATCCTTGTGATTAGTTCATATATTAATCATTATTGTAATATGAAATATTTTTTAAAGCTACTTCTTTTACCTTACACCACTCCTCTGAATGCCTGTTAGTCTGGCAAAGAACACAAGTCCTGGAAGGGAAGAAGCAGAGCATGTGAAAAACAAGCAGTGCAACTGGGCAGCAGATTGTGGGAGAGGAGAAGCACTGCTTTTAATTGGATTGAGGAAGTTAGAAATGTTGTGAGAAAGCTTTTCTTATCTACTTATTGTTTGTTTACCAGTAGCTGCTATTTCACCCTAAAATCCTACACTTTGGGTGCGCTTAATGTCAGATAAGTGAGCAGATTAAGTGGCCTTGTTGCATAGAGGATTCAATTCTCATGGGCGTCAGATATCTGCACTGAGATCTGGCAATGTTTTGAAGTTTGGCTTCTTTTTTAGAGTAGTTCATATACTATTGAATTTCATACCTAGGTTTTAATTCCAGCAATAAAGTTACATTCTTTCTCTTGAAGGATAAAATTGGAAAATCTGTGCCCCTTTCATTTTTACTATAAACGACAGAGATTTTAGAAATGACAAGGACTGGAACCAAAGTATAGCTCTGTAGAGTGCTTAGGACAGTTATGAATCTGATTCTGCTTCCTGTGATATTTTCACTGCTCAGTTGCCATCTATATTCACATATTTGGGGCAATACATCTCTCTTATTCAGTGCTTCACAAAGGAACCAACCAGAGGCATTGTGCTCTATTTGCACTTATCAGGAACTGGTGAAACCTGAACAAAAGCTGATTGCCTATTATTGGCTTCTAGTCTGTAATTGCCACTGTGCAAACACAAAGCAGCTCTGTCCCACAGTATTTATAATCTGGGGAGAAAACTTCAAAAGGAGTGTGTGGGTTTATGGCAAAATGGAGGAGGAGGTAGAAGACAGCCAAGCTTGCTAGATCACCCTACTTCACAAAAAAAAAAAAAAAAAAAAAAAAAAAGAAAAAAATTATTTTGGATTGGTGGGGTTTGCAGGTTCTTGGCAAGTCTGTTCCTCCAGGGCACTGGGAGTTACTCCACCAGTCACCACTGCATTTCTTAGCTTGGCATAATTTCTGTCAAAATCAAGAAGGTATAGCATCCCTCCTCTCTACTTGAAATGCTTTATAGCTTATATCTCTTTGTCATCTTGAAGAAAAGGATGAAAAATGTCCAGTCAGACTGCACCCAGAGATGAGGCAGAAGCCAGAACCCTTTGTCACAGCTGGACCACAGAGTAGGAAACCACATCTGACAGCAGAAGATGGGGGCCTGGTGAAGCCACTTCTCTCCAGTGCCCATGGGAATTGTGGACCTACTGGAATGAGTCCAGAGCAGGGACACGAAGTCGGTCAGAAGGCTGAAACACTTCTATGAAGACTGGATGAAACTGCTGGGGTTGTTCAGCCTGGAGAAGAGAAGGCTCCAGGGAGGCCTTAGCGGAGCTTTCCAGTACCTCAAGGAGGCCTACAGGAAAGCTGGAAAGGGACTTTTCACAAGAGCATGCAGTGATAGTAAGAAGAGGAATGGCTTTAAGCTGATGGAGGGCAGGTTTAGACAGATCTAAAGAAGAAATTCTTTACTGGGAGTTTCTTGAAGAGAGGACATTAGGCAACAGACATTTTCTAGGAGAAAGATGTCTTTACACGTTATTCTAGTCAAACAACAAATCCAAGGTTGAGAAGAATTTGTGTAGGGAATATTTTTGTAACTGTATAAAAATTGTCTTGATCATACAGATTCTCAGTAACCACCACGAAGGCAAAAAGTCTCAGTGGAGGAGATTCCTCATGCTGTCCATTCTAAAATATTTCAGGAGGTTGTCAGTTGATACAACTGAGGAAGTAATAAAGATAGTCGTCCTCATCAATAATGTGCTCTTAATTGCATATTTCAAGACCTCTATACCATAAACCAATATGGATTTTCCCCTTTGGTATAGTTCATTCATCTCACACTGTTCTTCTCTCTTTTGGAAAGCATGTTTTGATGTAGACACAAGTCTGGTCCTAATGATCTGACTAGTAATGAGATGAGTTGGCCATTTATCCAAGCTTCTGTGATATACCTAGGAAAACGCAGATTATTTCTGAGTTTGTATGTTGCCTTTTTACTGATAATTAATTTATAGAGTCATAGAATTATTTGGATTGGAAAAGTACTCCATGATCATCAAATCCAATCTTCAACTTTTACCATCATCCATTACACTTATATGACAGAAGCTCTTACATAGCCAGTTACAGCAGAAACTAGGGTCCTAGAAACAACTGTTAGGGGGAGAACTTTATATAAATACATCAAGAATTGGCCTGCTGGCAGGAGTAATAAGTTTGATGTGTCCCTCTAGGGTAAACATTCCTGAAAAATTTGATTTGGGGATCCACAAAGTACTGTCCACACAGAAAATAAAACTTTTCTCACCCAGGACAATACAAGGAAAAAGGAGAGGGAAGTGTCACTTTACTCAGGCACTCTTCTTTCTCCTGTTCTCCTTGCTGTTTATGCTGGCATGATCAATTGGACTTAATTTGGAAAGAGGAGAGGTTTTACAGTGGATAATCCTTTTTGTCCTTGAAAAGCCTAAGAACTTTGTTGTTTATCTGTGGGGTTTTTTTCCTATGGATTTATTCCTATTTCTACAGATTCAGAAGTTCACTGGTAAAAGCCTAAAATCATATTGTTAGGATATTCTGTCCAATTATGACTAAGACATGTAAGAGTATACAGACCTATTAAGGTTTCCACAACATGTAAAACATTATGAAAGTTTCTTTACAGGTTTCATTTGAAGTGCTCTCTTGCACAACCCTTGGATGCTAAGAATGTATGTGATTAAAGTTTTAACTTACACCCAGAACTCATTAATCTGCTTAGAGCTTCCCACAGCAATATCAGTGAAAAGGTATGCACCAAACCTGATACAATTGACCTGTTTATGTAAGTTTGGAGTACAACATCTCATTTAAAGAGGGGGATGCACCTCCTTTTATATGCCTGGGAAGTCCAGAGGAGCCTTCCTTGGAGCACTGTGACCCATCATGTCTGGGGCAGCACCTGCTCTCAGAACGGGCATGCAGGGGCTGCCAGGGAGCTAGGCGCAACTCTAAAATTCATCTTTCAAATAATGTGACAGAATTGGGAATAGTTTAATTTACATGTACATTCTTTCAATAGCATGTGCTGTAGCTCTGCCAGCAGTGACAGAGCTTGCTTGCTTGCTGTGCTAAGGAAGGATGAAAAGCAGCAGGTTCAGCACAGGTCCCTGCAGACCCCTCTGAGGGCATCATGGTCAGGAAGGTGCTGGTGATTCAGTGAGTATTTGGCATCCTGCCTTAGAATGTTTTCAGCAAACCTCAAGTTGTTTGTATTGAGTGTGAAAACTCAAGTTATACAACATTAAAGTACACCTTTCTACCTAACTGTCCTTCTAACCTCTTAGGAAAGAAATTGGATTGATTTGATATAGTTAATCTGTACTGTTACATGTCTCTTCATTGCTTTAAAGGTACGTACAAGTAGTTAATTTTGGTACCTGTTAAAAGAAAGTCCAATAATTACTGAATAATTGATGCTTGCCGGTTTGGGGGTATTTTTAAAAGTTTGGCCTTGTTTGTCTTTCTCTAGGCTTCTATCACTTCAAAATCCTCCACAAATCTATGGAAGCTCCATCTGTGGCACAAAACAGAGCAGGGCGGGCTGGTGATCAGGATTGCTCAGAGCAGACTCATGGCACACTCCAGAGCAGATATTTACTGTGGAGAGCAAACTGAGGTCTCAAACTGATCATGAAATTTTACAACTGGCAACCAAGGTCCAATGTCTGAGTTTCTGAGCTTCCGTAAAGAGAAGTATGCACGTACTGAAAATTGCATTAAATTCTTTCAGGCTGCTTCAGACTCATTATCTCATTCCAGGCTATATATAGCACATCTGCCTTGTCCTCATAAAACAACAGCCAGAAGTGCAGCACACAGGCCAGCAGCCTTGGCGAGTTGCCCACTGAGTAATTCCTGTCCCATCAACGTGTCCCCAAGATACAAAGAGAACATGGCAAGGGCAGAGAACTTTACCCATTGAGAATTTGCTGTCATTTCTGATCTGCAAAGATCTTGAAAATACTTTTTCTGCCTTTAAAACACGTTGTTGTGTTAAAAAAAAAAAAAAAAAAGCTTCAAACAGGTGGAATTACAAGGTCACACATACCACAGCCCTTCAAATATGTAGTGTTTAGAAATCACCCTCTGAGACTTTGGCTCTGTACCTGCATGTAGGCATTTCTCAGACAACATTTTTGTCTGATGCCTCACAAGAGAGCAGACAGAAGTCAGGAAGCATCAGGTCACATATTTACTTCAACTCATAGCTTATAAGATCAGATAGGAAGGTATCTCTTTCCAGACTTGCTAAGTACCCCTTGCATGGTGTCCCAGATGCTCCTGTGGTTCTCCATGCCCATCTCCTACATTCAAGGTAGCTTTTGAAGGCTAAAGGAAGAATCCCCAGGAAACAAAGCAGCAAGGTCTCCTGACATGAGTAGATTAAGACAAAATAGCCCGGGTGTATGAGAGGTTTCAGACTGGAATAATGTGAGGGGTGTTCAAATCTCACCCAATACTACACAGAGACAGAGAATGAGCCAAGTGTCTCAGCTTCAGGTTTTGCTTAACAAGATCTGGCAGCCTGTTTTTGCAAAAAGCTTGCTTTTGATCTTGCCATGGATTCTTTGGATCTGCTTCCCTCTAAAGGCCATTCAGTGAATTATTGCATTGTCCTGAATGTCAATCAAGTCTTAACATGAAATCAATTCTCAGATGTATTCCTTATCTGGAGAGGTGTTTGAGTTCGATGAAGGACAGAAATAAATGCTTTCAGGGTTATTTCTTGTTGTAAGACATCTTAAAAGAAATAATGTAGCAGTAAAGGCAGAGATTTGTATCGGCAAGCAGAGGTTTTCATGATAGAATTCTATCTAAAAATGAGTGTCAAGCATACATGCTTTTGTAGTTCCTTATCACATAGAAAAGTGAGCCAGAAAAGTGAACTGGTTTGTCCCAAAAAGAAATTGGGATCATCCTTGCTGCCAGTCCCATGCTCAGACGAGTCAGAGATTCTTTCCAGATGGGCTGAGGCATTTCACCTCTCAGGCATAGCTGCAGTATTGCTGCAGTTGCATGTGATCCCAGGTAAGGAGTTTTGTGGTGCTGTAGGGCTTGGGCAGACTGCTTCTTATACCAAAAGGTGAATTGCTCCTTCAGCTGAGATGCTCAGATGTGCCATGAAACTGAGACCTTTAATTGAGGTGTTGGACTTTCATTGAACTCAGTGGATAAAAAGAATCACAAGCTGGAGTGGCATGCTAAGAAATTGGTCACTTTGCCTGCTTGGTTAAGGAAAAAACAAAAAAGAGACATTTAAAGGATACCTTTTTGTTATTTGGGCAGGCAGTGGGAAATAGGATAATCCCAAAGTATACTAGTCATCTGAGTAATAATCATTGTCAACCAGCATTTTTGCACAGCTTCAGCACTGTATAGGCATCTCTGGAGGGGAGGGGATCAAGTTTTAGGTAAATGGAGTACATCTCTGCAGACCTCTGTGTAGGAGGAGCACAGGAAGTTACACTGCTGAATTAAATTGAATTAATCAGGGCCTCAAAGGAAGGTTCATACAACTTTGAAGGGAATAATTGAGATATGTAAACACAGGACATCTTAAAAGTCCTTAAAATACCTGAAGCTTTCTGCAGGCCTGGAAAATATGGCAAAGAAGACACACATCCCCCAGTTAGGGCACTGGAAGGTGTTATTATATTGCGAGGGTTCTACTGTCATTATATTGCAAAGGTTCCATATTGGTAGAGTTTCATACCTCCCTCATGTGTCTCATAGGCAGCTCCTCTATGTACTGACTCCTCCTTATCCTCACAGCAGCCAACTGACTCCAACTCCCATCAACTAACCAATCCACTCTTTTATGACACTCTTCTTACTGGTTACAGCTGTGGCCTGTTAAAGTCAGGCTTGTTCCCAAACTCTAATAATTGGCTCAGTTGCAACTCATTAAGGGGTAAGATTACTTTCTATACTTCCTTTATTTTCTTATGTTGTATCCCCCTACAGGAAGGTGTTTTAGGACACTTGAAATGGCACTAGCCTTATATGGTTATGTACTTGAGTTGCTCCTTAGCTCTTTTTTTTAGTCTACTCTAAGTGTCCTAACCAGAGAAGAAATTGTCCTTTGGGACTGCCTCTTCTCTCTGCAAACTATAAGAATCTGCACAACAAATTTGAGGCAGATCTTTTAGCTAAAGCTGGCTAAGCTGCATCCTGTCCTGATATAAAGATGTATCTTTATCATCCTGCCCTGATATCAAGATATAAAGTTGCAATGTTTAATTAATGTTTTAGCCCCCTCCAGGTGTAAAATGAATCCAGGTGGCTCCCAGCTACCTGGGGTTGGTTTTTAGATACTGAAGGCTCCAGGTGCATTTGCCCACACTAACTGCATCTTCACCAGGCCCTTCATCATCCCCACCATCATTGTCCACTCTATGTAATTTATTTCATTTACAGCACCTATTTTGGAGGCAATTAATTCTGTTGACCAAAACATAAAGTGGCATGTGTTTCTGTGCTCCACATATCAGCTTTGTCAATAGACAGCACTTTTTTTTAATCTTCAACCTGATCCTAAATACAGTTTTAGTGTTTCTTAAGACTGCTCACCTCTCTGTTATGTAACCTTGCAGCCTGTCCTGCAATATTCTGCTCAGTGCCTGCTGTAAACAAGAGTACTGCCACACTCCTCACTCTTTCCAAGGTCAGCCCCAAACTATAAAGCTTGTACAGTTGCCATTGCAAGGCTCAGGTGTGAAAAACAAAATGAAATGGTATGTGGAAAACAAATGCTTTCATGTACTCAAAAGCACCACCAACCCGGTCACTTACTGCGATTCACATTTAGTTCTCCTGAAAGGCTGAAAATTTAATAGTATCTGGAGAACTGAAGCTTGGAAAGTCAAATAAACTCATTCTGCAGTTCCAAATTATACCAGAGGAGGTTGTAGTGTCCCATTGAGGGGATTGGGCAAATCTACAGGGAAAAATGAGCTTGTGTAACAAATCAATACCATGTTGGTTCATTCTTTTTTAATAAAGGCAGGGGAAAAGTGGCAGGACATCTCCCACATACTCAGGTCTCTAACCTGCAAAGTGAAGATGTAGCTCCTGCCCGGGAGAAAATGCTCTACTGAATGTCACTGGGAATGGAACTTGCCTGAGGAATGACAGCTTTATGGGACATTGTGAGAGGGAAGCAGATGGCCATTTATGCTGTTGCTAGCACATTTGCTCCTGTGTCCCTCCCTCTTGTCAAAGTAGGAATGGATCTCCACATCCAAAAATTTCTTGCAGTAATTTGTAATTGTGGGGCAGTGGAGACATGTGAATCCACAAAGAAGAAAACACTGGTCCTTTAAATATAAGGTGCCCAGTAGCACCGAGCAGAGCAGCAGCATCCCAACAGCTCTCCCTCCCAGGGGTAGTAAATGATTCAGTGAACAAGATATGCCTCAATAGATACTTGAAGAGATGCCTGTAATTCAGTTGAGGGCAGTAAGAGGACATGCCAAGGCAAACACATTCCAGGTGACTTGCAACACCGTGTGAAATTTCACTCCATTATAAATAACACAGTAAATGTGAATGTTGCATTTCCCAAGGTACTGGTAAGACACAACCTTTTCCCTAAAGAGCAGACATGAAGGAAATGTATCACTGCTGCTCCTTAGCCCTGAAAGGCAGATCAGATGGATTCCTGCAGCAAGGATGACAGCGTTATCCACTCATCCCACCTCCTGCCTCTGGGGTTAGGAAGGATGCTTCAGAAGCCTTGCACTCTGGCTCTCAGGGCACACATAGTACATAAATATCTGGGAAGACAATGAACAAAGTTGTATGTCTTCCTCTTTCCTGATGTGACCTTTTCACTATGTTCTAGCTGTCCACAGTGTGATAACTTGATTTCACCACAATCTGAGGCCATACCCTCCCACGTGCATGAAAGCCAACCCACTCGGTATGACAAAAGCAGAATTTTTTGTTTGTGTCTGTACCTTATTTATCAACAATCAGGTTCAACCATCCATGGATAAAACAGGCATCATCTAAGAAGAGAGAAATCCTTCCCAAGTGTGACCACTGAGGCTGTTCACAGACAAGAGACGACACAGACATTTGGCAAATTGTAGATACTGTGTGCAGTTCATCACTGGTCCAGAAAGTTGCTTTTCCAGAGATGCACAGCCAGTCATTCATTTCAACAGCACTACCTCTTGTGTTGAGCAATGTTTAGAAGGTGGGGCTCACATCACTAATTTTAGCAGTCTAAGGAGGTTGTCTAAGGTAATCATCTCAAAGCTCTTCTGCAGTAAGTGAAAGGAGACAGGAATCCTCAGAGAAACATGTATGAGGTAAATGAACAGGATCACCCACTGGAAGTGTCCATCTACCAGACATGGAGTTTAGAGTCAGTGGCTTAGGCTTACGCTAAATCCTAAACTTGAGACAACTGTGTTAAGACAGAGAGATCCCATTGAAAATCAGTAAATGGCTCAGGCTTGTGGTTCATAGGTGAGATCCACGTTTGCAATACAAATTCCTCACGGATTCCTCCCTATCCATACTTGTGTTATTGAAGAGTAAGTCTTTCTTATAAAATGACCATTCTCTTATTTTGCTGTGCCTTCCTACCTTCATGCCAGAGCACTCCTAAGAGCTGAGAGGCTCTTCCTCAGGGCTTGCTACTTCTCCTCACACCTGTTTTCCCTGCCCACAGGCAGCATATTCTGAAGTGCCAGACATTTCCATGTCTCTCAGGTCCACAGGAGACAGATTTAATTCCTCCAGGTTTGTCTGAGACAGGTTTGTTTCTCTCTTCTCCTTTCTCACTTTTTTCACTGTCCACTTCTGTTGCAGGCTGTGCATCCCCATGCTTTCCTGTTGCTTGCATGGAGTATCAAAGTGTCAACAGAACTATTCCTCTGTCACTCTGCAGGGTTTGGGAGCTCATGGGAAATTCAGTCGTCAAAGAACAGATTTTTTTTTCCTTAGAAAGTCTATGGGCTCTGCTGCTGTGAGATCCTGGTAACAAAATGTGCTCAGTTCCAAGATCAGCTGCAGTGCAGGAAGCCACGCTGCCTTTCAAGCTGGCAGGAGATGGGACCCACCACTAATTCACACAGGCATGGCTGGGAGTGGGGAGCAGTCAAGGCTCCCTGAGTGTGGAGCATGGCCAGATCTGCAAGCTCTCCATTTCAGGGGAACAAATGATGCTTCTGGGGATAGCTGGGGGCTACTGGAGATCTGTACTGGACTCAGTCCATCACACATGGAATGCTGGTGGTTGCTGTACTACCCAATACAGAGCAGGAGCTGCATATAGGACCCAGGTTTTTACTGATGCAAAAACTTTGGGCATATCTATAGCCATTTTTGTGTACTGGAGGGTAAGAGCCGCAGAGACCCAGCCTGCTTTTTGTGGAATGGCAAAAGGGTTGGACACTAAATGTTTCTATATGTTCCAGTGTTAGTTCTTTTCCCCAGAAGAAGTGGGTCTACATCTTTTCCTATCTATGTGCTGCCCCATTGCTCCTCTCTTTTCAAGGACAGTAAGCAAAGGTAATACCTGACAGCTCAGCAGAGCAAGGCTGGCTGTCAGTACCGTGGCTGACTTGATCCTGCCTTATCCAAGCTGGGGAGAAGAACTGGCCTGAAGAACAGCTCATTTCACAAAACAGATCTCATTTCTTATTGCTGGCAAAGCGCCTTTTCTTTTTCAGAATGCCTGGAGGGAACTGATTATTTTGCTGATCCTTTTCACACCCATGGCTAAGACTGCCAAAGATGTTGCGACCAGGGTCTGTCAGCAGTGCAAAGAGTAGTTTGTGATATTTGCAAATTTAACACAGTAAATCCATCTGATGATGTGCTTTATTTGCTGTTTGCTTACTGATAGCCAGCCACGATCCAGTGAGATTTTGAGTGACCACACATATCCAGTGTGTGACCATGTCAGATCAGTGGAAAGCAGATTCCCTGCAAACACTTCTGCTGAGAGTGTACAGACTCATTATATCAGACTCTGGTAACTACGTGCTCCATTTTACTATATCCTGCTTAAATCTGAAGATTGGAAGAAGTGTCATTTAGATGAATTGGTGAGACAACTCAGAGACAGGAATGTCCACATCCCACCTGGAAAGCTGTCCACACTCCTTTCATGCCTATTTTCACACAATTCAAATTTCAGAAGTTTATTTCTCATTTAGAGGATAAAGTATCAGCTCTCTCTTTTTGATAGCCAAAATTACCCTTCTTCCAAAGTCAGACTCTCTAGGACCAACCATTTTTTTCACTTGCATTATCCACCTGTCACATTTGCTTGTTCAGGGAGATAAGGCATGTGATGTAACCCTGAAAAGACCTTTTTCTTCTTACAAGTGAAATAATAATTGCTGTTTGCTTTCCTGTGACTGGGTAGAGGATCTGATTGTGAACTCAGAGCTGCATAGATCTTAACATTAACCGAGCAATGTCACTACAAAACTGCCATGGTGGAGCTTATATTCAAGCTTTCCATGTTCAGTACTCTGGATTTTCCAGGTGAATACATCCCAATGGAAATTTTAAAAATAATAAAGTACTTTCTTTCCCTTGAGCTTTAGTGTATTCACTTGGAAATTATATTTCACAAGAGGCCACAGTCTGATTTATTAACTTTGGCAGCAGGTAAATTCACAAACCAAGAGCCATGTGTGCCAGTACTTGTAAGTGATCAGAAATTAAGGATTAGTCAGCATATTACAACTCTACTGTAGGACAATGAGGAGAGAACTTCACTGTAACTATGTCCCATTTCCATGTTTTA